AACACTTGACAACGCGCGAACATATAGCGGACTTCGGCAACACAGAAATTTTGGACATCGAAAGAGAAAGAATGAGAATGACACTGGAGAGCCTACGAATACAACAACAATTGGACAACGCAATCAACTTTAAGGAAGACGTCGACAACACGAAGAACACATATGCAGCCGTACTAAAATTAAAATATAAATAAGAATACTTCAATAATTCTTCCTAAATGTTATATTATCTTCAATGTGTGCAAATTAATGTAAAATTCTTGTCAATATTTAATGTGAGTTTCAATTGATATTATGTGTGTATATAATTAGTGTTAAGTATACATGTACATATGTAACTATTGTTGTGTATACATATATGTATGTATGTATGCAACTATTATTATGTTTTTGTTAATCATGGTTTTCGTTCTTCATGTTTATTGTTTATCGTTTAAATAAAACAGACTCCCTGAAGATGACACGAGAGTGTCGAAACGCGTAGGAGGGAGAATATAAGCATTTCGCCTTTTACTCCATCGGCCGAAGCAGCTCCAACCCAGCAAACATTTATCGATTTTGTTTTCGATATTTATCAATTTTGGTACCGATATTTATCGACTTTGTTATGGATATTTTTATCGATTTTGTTATCGGTGTTTTTATGGATTTTGTTATTGATATTTTTATCGATTTTGTTATCGGTGTTTTTATCGATTTTGTTATGGATATTTGTATCGATTTTGTTATCAATGTTTTTATCAATGTTTATAGGTTTTATAATCGATATTTTTGTCGGTTTTGTTATCGATATTTATCGATTTTGTTATGGATATTTTTATAGATTTTTTTGTCGATATATTTATCGATTTTGTTATGGGTATTTTTATCGACTTTGTTATCATTATTTTTATCGATGTTTATCGGTTTTGCAATCGATATTTTTGTCGGTTTGGTTCTCGATATTAATCGGTTTTGTTATCGAAATTTATCGATTTTGTTATGGATATTTTTATAGCTTTTTTTGTCGATATATTTATCGATTTTGTTATGGATATTTTCATCGACTTTGTTATCGATATTTTTATCGGTTTTGTTATCGATATATACTGATTTTGTTATCGGTATTTTTATCCATTTTGTTATCGATATTTATCGATTTTGTTATCGATATTTATAGATTTTTTTGTCGATATTCTTATCGATTTTGTTATTGATAGTTATCGATTTTGTTATCGACATTTGCCAATTTTTATCGATTTTGTTATCGTCACTTGTTGACCTTGTTATCGATATTTATCGATTTTGTTTTGGATATTTTTATCGATTTTGTTATCGATTTTGTTATGGATATTTTTATCGACATTTTTATCGATTTTGTTATGGATATTTTTATCTATATTTTTGTCGAGTATCTAATAGATTTTGCTACCAATATTATTGAAATTTTTATCGAATTTTTCATCGACTTTGTTATCGATATTTTTATCGGTTCTGTTATCGATATTTTATTGGATGTTACTATCGATTCTGTTATCGATAGAGTATAAATTTAAAAATGAAGATAAAGGAAAACAGAATAACATAAATGTAATTAGAACGAACAGGGGTAGAGGTAGGGATCTAGATAGAAAAAAGACAAAAAAATATAACCTTAAGCAAAAGCAGATGTATGTGTGTATGTATGTATATTGGTTATGAGACAAAATAGATATGTATGTAATGAAAGTTTCTCTTCTACAGTGTGACCCAGGTGCACTTGCTTTTTTTTATTTTTATCACTGACCATTTTACACTTCTTCACTTATCTAATTCACTTTATTGACTGACTTCAACTTCGCTGTAAATTGAACAATGCAAAACATCATTTTTATGCGAGACAAATTTCCACAGAATGTAGAAAAGGAATTTTTGGATATTCATTTCATCAGCTGACTACGATGCAGAGGGTCAATTCTCGTTCTGCGTTATTGCGAAGTGATAAAAATAATACTTTTACACCGCATTTATTTCGGTGTTAATTTCATACTTTTCACTTCACTTTACGATAACGCAGAACGGGAATTGACCCTCAGCATNAACAGGCAAAACGAATCGAGATAAAAAATAAAACCTTAATGCACATTTATAATGACGGTGCTGATGACCCTAACAAAAAAAATATTTATTTATAAAAATTAACCCAAACTAATTTTTTCGGTATATTATGGGTATAGTCGAAAGAACATATATTCCCATTAGTTATGGAACCCGATTTCATGTGACTGTCTTCGCAGTAGCGCATTCTGTTAACCCAGTTCTTCAAGACCTTGTTGATGTTTTCGATCTCTATCGTAAGAAATGCCCGACATACGCCTTAAAGACCTGAATCGTTAATAGATTGTTCGCGTTATATCGGTCCTTCACGGCATGGCACAAAAAGATTTAAGGGCGTGAATTCGGGGCCAATTGATTTCATCCAGACAGCTAATAACACAATTACCGAACTTTTTCGCTCAAAATAAAAATCGAATAGATGGCAACCCTAACAAAAATATTTTCAAACTAAAGTTTTATTAAAACTCTTTCTTTTTCCACTCATATTTTAATATTTCATTGAAATTGTGTAAAAGCTAAATAAATTAGTCTTTTCAAACAGGTGGCAACCTTCTGCGTGGCATTTTCAAACTGAAATCTTTACAAGCTCTTTCGCCCGATACTTTGATATATAATTCAATTACCTGAAGAATTAAATTTAATTAAATTTTTTTATCACCTGGCAACCCTCCTAAACAGTTCAGATATAAATCCTTCTCAAACCCATGAACGATTAAATCACCTCTTTTAGTAATTTATTTAACTTAATAATTCATTTAAATTTAGAATTTTCAACAGCTGTGAACTCTCTTCAAACCATCAAACAAAATTTTGATGTTTAAACTGAAGATTTCTTAGCACTCTTTCGTTTAACACCCATATTTTAATAGTGCATATAACTAAATTCGGCTTTTAAAGAAGGTGGCAACCCTTTTCAAAACATTTTCAAATTACTACCTATTTAAACTCCTTTAGTCTGGACCCCTGTGGGGGAACATTTTGTAAATTATCTATGGAATTTGTAAATTACCTATGGCAACTCTTTTCAAAAGGTAAAACCTCATGATTTGCCACCTTACTTTTGAAAATCGAACAAACGGTGTGGATCTGATGGCATTGATTATTAAATTATTTGAATGCAATTTTTTAACATGTGGCACCTCTCTTCGAAAAAGTAAACCCTTATTGCACATCTACAGACCAAGCGCTTTAATCTGACATCTCATTTTTGAAAATCGGGCGAACGGTACAGATCTTTTATGCTGCACAAAAAATCCCTTCGCGTATTATATACATAGATATTGCAGAACATTCTACTTTGCATTCTCCGAAATGAAGCAAAGAAGCGAAATAAAGACGATAATAAAAGTTTAAGTTCGGGCCCAGCCGAACATTAGAGTAGAGTAGTATTAAATATAGTTCTTTTCACCTTTCCGAAAACTACCGCTACATAGTAGGCAGGGGTGGTTTTATCCCTGTTTCAAACATCTTCGATAAACTTATATGGCACTTCTTTTCAAGGGATAAACAATCTGGTTTCTTTGTTAGAAAGGTAAAACACATCTCTTTCAAACAGAGAAAAAAATTTAAATTCGACCAAAAAACAACAAAGTTATAACTTCCTGATTTTGTAACTGAAAAAAAACAAAGTTTTATCATATTTGCTAGTAAAAAGTAGTAAAGTAGAAGTGATGGAGAAAAACTATAAGTACAGTCGTGTCCCATGGGCTATACCAAAACATAATTTCTATATGAGAACCGCTGCATATTTTTTTGTTTACCTTTGTATCACTGTGTAATTGAATCCTGAACTAATCTGACCTTAAATGTAGTTAAATTTTTAACGTTTGCAATTTTAATTAGAGAATCCTGTTTGTTTAAATTTTTTTATTTTATTGCAAATTTGACAAAAATATAGCACCACAACATATTGTCAAGTGTTGACTATTTATGTCTTGTAGTACTAAGGTTTTATTTATTATTATCATAAAATTTCTAGATTTTAGTTCGAATTTTTAAAATAAATGTTTAGTATTCAGGTTTTTAGTCTAATAAATTTAATTATAGTAAAGTGGAAGATTAAAGTTGGCCAAAAATCCCGTTGATTTTTGATAAATTTGTTTACTGACGATTTAACGTTCTTTCCTCCATACAAAATATGAAGCTATCAGAGTTTAGCCGATTTAAATATATCTACCTATGTACATAAATATGTAGCATTGTAATTTTACATTTTCAATCTATCACTTTGGCTACAATCATGGGCGTAGCTAGGTAGGGACAGGGGGGTGCTTGAGCCTCCCCCCCCTAACATTCAAATATTCCTTATATATATATAAAATAATACCCTGAAATGCCAGCTTAATAGGGTCGAGCCTCCCCCCCTATATTTCATTCTGGCTACGCCGATGGCTACAATTGTAGCCAAATGGCAACGCTGATTGTAAATTACACTGTGCGCATGTATGTATGTGCATTAGACTGCATCACTCCCCATACAAAAAAAATCGGTACTTTTTTCCATTGGAATTATAAAATCTATGATATTTTAAGACTTGTGCCAAAATATTTCGGAAAAATATTAAGATTTAAGTGAGCTGGACCAATTTGAAAAGACCTCCAAAAATGGGGGTTTTAATGAATAAAACTAGTTTCCAAAAAAATTTTTTGAAAAAAATCAGCTCAGAAATAAAAAAATAAAAATTCAACGGAATCATAATAATGATATTTTTGATGCTGTTTTTTAACTTTTTTCAAAGATTGCTTTGAGCAAAACTTGAATAACTCAGCCAAGACTTTACCGATTTAGACTTATGAGGTATCATTGGAAAGGTATTTTCTCACCCTTTTATTTTCTTTGCAAATATATTTATTCACGTCCCATTTTTTTGTTGCAAATATTAACACATCTTAGTTGAACTTGTAATTACACTCGTTCATCTTACCTTTCCCTTTCATACTTTGATTGTTTTCAATCCTCATAAAAATCATAAAAATCCTTTCGTGAATTGAGTCGTTTGTAACATTTGCGTGATTCTATTTTATTAGCAATATAACCAAGACGATTTTTTTCAATGACTGAGGTACTGGATTGAGCCACGATTTGTACAAACCGCTCAGTGTTTTGCGAATGACAAGGAAAGTCTAGAATGAAAAAGTTTAATAAGAAGAAATTAGAAAAATAGTTGTAGATAAGTATGCAAACTATTGATTTGATTCGGAAAATAAATACTTTATACCTGGAATTTTGATAACTTTGTCGGAATTGTAAAAAGAAATCAAAACATCATCCGAATAAAATTGTAAACATGGCGGTTCTGTAACATTTCCAACTTCGTCCCAGTCAATTAAATTCGTTAACGACGTAGCATCAAAAATTATTCTTGGCACGAAAACTGACGAATGTTATGAACTCCATGCGCACGAAATTCAAAAATTTTGTCATATCCTTCATTTCGTACTGGTTTATCCTGGTCTGTTATCATTGATAATAAAACATTTTCCGGATGAGCGAAAAACCCATTAATTTGCACAGAGTGTTGTACAGTTTCTTGCATATCTGTAGGCAATTGTCGAATCCATTTAATATACTGTAGTAAGTGTCGGCTGCCATTTATGGCTTTCGGCTTTTTTTTTATTAAAAACCAAAATGGCGCATAAACCTTTACTACAAAGAATGTAAGTTTTTTTAACTTTTCTGAAGCCACTGGCTTCGTAACATACAGACGAAGTACCCTAGCCGCTGTTGTCAGCCATCGCGAAAGATTCCGAGGACCTGGTTTAATACTTGCTAGATATTCACTGCAAACTCCACTATCGACTGCTCAAACCAAATTAAATAAATATTTTTGATCGGCTCTCAAGTCCCACTCGTCAATATTTTCGGGCATCTCACCCATTGGGATTGGTTCGAAGTTGTGTGCAGCCTTTATTTTTTAAAGAATACAATTAAATAAAGTAGAAAGTATATATGCATTTTTTTAATAAGTCTAAAATAATACAAGATAAGAAAAGGGCAGTAACCGTGGGATACTTACTGGTAAATTTTCGCAATTTTGTAGGGAATAACCAATTAATCCAGGCCAGTTTTGTGGCCCACTAGCCTTCCCTAAGAAGTGTTTTAATACCGCCGTAAACGTCAATTCGTTGAAGTGAAACAGACATATAAACCACTGCAGTGGTCGCTCCAACTTATGCTCTAAATTACAGATGGTACCTCGGCTTTTCCCAGTGTTACATCTCGTTCCATCGCAGTTAATTGCAATCAATTGCTCCAATGAATAATCTTCTCTTTTTAAAAAATCCATCATTTCAGAGGTAATTGCATCGCTGCTCCCGTTAGTAGGTGTTACAAAACCAATTAAACTCGAGTTAGGCTCTTTTACCATTGTTATATGTTCCTCTGTAACAATAATATTCCGCTGCATACCAATAACGACTACTTGTTTCGGCCCTCTTAAGCTGGCATTTCAGGGTACTATTTTATATATATACCCTATACCCTACCCCTACCTGGCTACGCCCATGTTCACACCCAAAAATTTTGTTATCATTCTGGTTCAAAAGTTTGAAATTTCGATTATTATTTGTTGAGTTTTTAAACAAAGTTTCAATTTCTTTGTACCATATTAGAAAAATTGATTTATATGGTTTTGATTTAAGCATGAAATATCAGGTAATATAATTAGTAAAAGTCTTGTGGGTGAAAAAATTCAAGAGTATTACAAAAAGTTGGTTTTTTGTAACTATTTTCCGTCTCTGTACTCATACGTCAGTATTAAATGTTAGTTTACACCTAATTGTAATATAATATTCAAAATTATTTTCAGGGAAATATTTTTTCATTAATCATTTAAGAAACTATAGTTCATTCTGTAATACAAACCCTATAAGTCAAAGTTCCACATTTTATATAAAGTACACATAAATTCAAAAAATGTTCATCAAAAATTTCAACTTTTTATTCACAATTTCTACAAAGTTTTCGAGTATGCAGTTTTGTAGCCTATTCAATTTAGTAACGCAAATTGCAAGTTTCAAATCGCTCAAAATTACCGTTGATTTTTTTTTAGAATTTTTTATGTGAAGGGTGTTGCGGGTTTCTTCCGTATAAAAATAAATTGTAATTTTTCGTTATATGAAAGCAAATCCAACAAAAAAAATTCTAAAAAATTAACGGAAACTTATAGCGACTTGAAATATGCACTTTATTTACTAAAATTGAATGGTCTACAAAACTGCATACTCGAAAACTTTGTAGAAATTGTGAATAAAAAGTTGAATTTTTTGATGAACATTTTTCGAATTTTTGTGAACTTTATATAAAGTGCGAAACTTTGATTTATAGGGTTTGTATTACAGAATCAACTATATTTTCTTAAATGATTAATGAAAAATATTTCCCTGAAAATAATTGTGAAATTCACTGACTGACAATGTGAATTTTATATTACAACTAGGTTGGATACTGGCCGTACATATTTAGCACATAAACATTTTGACTAGCTTTGACTATTTTTTTGTTATTTTATTTATGTTCATATTTTTTTTTTCACGGTGGAGAGAATACAGAGGTGGCGCCGATGACGATACCGCTACTCGGCTCTCAGTGATTTTGACAGAATCAGCTGTTTTGGTGACGTCATAGTAGAGAAGACAGCAGTAGTGATGTGCTGAGTCAATACTTTTAAGTACCCAATACTCTCGATACTCGGTACCGAAACATTTAGGTTTCGAATAAAAGCGCACATAGGCCAAAAATATGGAAAAAACGCCTAACAAAACCCGAATGTAAGAGCCAATAGAGCTTTTTTACTGATTCAAATGAAAGATGTATATATGTCGGTTCGATGCCATAATACAGAGAAACCCTTACTTGTTTGAAGCATTTTTGTTCCAGCTGAATCGGACGATATCATTTTTGTAGGCCTGGGACAGATTCTGTAACCAGTTAACGACAATTTTCGAATCGGTATCGGTTTTGTCGACGTTTGATATCAAATATTTGTAAGTCAACAAGTGCGATATCGATCCGAAACTTGTCGCTAACTGGCTACAGAATCTCTCCCTTGAAAGGCTTCTTCATCCGTCAAAGTATTTTTCTTGAACTTTGGATCGACTAAGGTTAAAACTGATAAAATAATATTTTTCTGTGGCGATAAGTTCAAGTGTTTTAGCCGATATCATATAAATTAGTAATGAAAGTTTTTTCTAAACCTGAAATGCATATAATGGCGAGGATTTAATGTAAATAATCGATATCGGATACCGAAAAGGAAGTATAGGGTACCGAAATCTTTTTAAGTATTGGGTACCGAGTATTGGGGACAATTCAGCACATCACTAGTCGCCCTCATTCTCGCCGCTCTCAGTTGTCAACTCTACGATGACGTCACGCTAAAATTACTCTCACGAATTCTGCTGCAATCGGCGCAATCTTGTATTCTATCATTCTTGCCTTTTCAGTCGCACAGCCAATGGCAAACTAAACTTATAGCTTCTGAATCTATTCCAGTGATCGCTTAAAAGCACATGTTTTTAGCATAGGCAAAGCAGAATACAAATGTGTCCTAACTGTAAACTTCTAGTGTCAACTCTTTTCTCTTGCATTTGCCTAAGGCTCTGTTCTAACAAAAACAACAAGGGTTGTGCTGATAGCCTACTTAACAAAAAATAAAATCAAAGTGGAAAAAAAATTATTGAGTTTATTTCATTGATTGGGAGTGTATAATGCTGAGGGTCAATTCCCGTTCTGCGTTATCGTAAAGTGAAGTGAAAAGTATGAAATTAACACCGAAATAAATGCGGTGTAAAAGTATTATTTTTATCACTTCGCAATAACGCAGAACGAGAATTGACCCTCTGCATCGTAGTCAGC